TAAAGTTAAACCTGCTAACATTAGACCAGTTTAAATTGACATGGCACAAAGTAATTATTGGAAAGGTTTTGCATGCTAAAATTAAATCTTCTCCCAAGCCTATTAAAAGAACATGGTTAAATCTCGTTTCCATTCTATGCTTTATCAATGCATCTAAATGCGACTAGAAGTACTAGAGAATAGTGTATGGAATAAAATGTAGCCTACATTCTATCATTCATATAAGCACTCAATTCATCACTAATGTTAGCTGGTTTAACTTTAAACTCAAAGGTCTAAAGTTAAACCTGCTAACATTAGACCAGTTTAAATGGACATGGCACAAAGTAATTATTGGAAAGGTTTTGCATGCTAAAATTAAATCTTCTCCCAAGCCTATTAAAAGAACATGGTTAAATCTTGTTTCCATTCTATGCTTTATCAATGCATCTAAATGCGAAAAAAATACCAGTCAATATACATTAGGTTGTTTACAAACAATTCAGACTGCTGCACCATAATTCTCTTCCGCTCAAACATATTGCACTTCACAGGTGAGCAAACACACCTGACATTCCCATAGTTTTTGACACCCTAGTTACCTTGTCACAGCAGTATCAACGAACCATTTCACAGCAACGTCCAAACAGCAGAGAGACTGAGACAAGCGTCTTTAGATTACGATGTGTCCAGCATCAGCGCTCAGGTGGATATGAACACGATGCAGTGTGCACTGTGTGGAAAAGGCTTCCACTTGAAATGGATACCTGCAAAGCAAAAACAAATGAAAACTGATCCCAAAGATATCAGTGTTGCTATTACTAATTCATCAGACTCTCACTTTGAATTTATTAGAGCAAAAGAACTCAAGCAATAGCCCACAAAAATACCTCATAAATAATACAAACATCCGGAGCACTAATCTGGCAATTTCTCACATTATAAGTGAAAGCAAAATACGTCTTCAGCAATCTAATATAAACTTGCATTAAGAGGAGTAAACTTTATTTATGCTTTACCCTGTACACTGTGTCCTGACGCAAGGCAAAAATCACATGCTGTGGTAATTACCAGTCCTAGATGGCAGACAGTGCTTGCTGGAAATTAAAATTAAATAACTTAAGATATTTCTGAAACAATTGCAAGGATCAGCTGCATTTTAGCGGAGTAAACAAGTTGCTTCTTCATATGCTTGCTTACGACTATAGTTTTAGTTTTTCTTAATTTAGGTTTCCACACTTCCATACTGGGATTACTGGAAAAATCATTGAGATGGCAAAAGAGCAGATTCTAACCAAAGAAATATTTTAGAGAAGAGCCTTAAAATATTGAAAAATGTCCATTATTTTTAATGTTTTTTTAAATTTGTATTTATTTTTTGCAAATTAATAACAGTTCACATAAAAAAATAAAAATTACTCACTCTCAGTTGTTTATTACAAACACACCACTTTTCACTTCACAAGACATTAATTTATGGACTGAAGACATGTGGATTACTTGTGGATTATTGTGATGTTTTTATCAGCTGTTTGGACTCTCATTCTGACGGCACCCATTCACTGCAGAGGATCCATTGGTGAGCAAGTTATGGAATGCTAAATTCCTCAAACCTGTCCTGATGAAGAAACAAACTCATCTACATAATGGATGGACTGAGGGTGAGTAAATTTTCAACAAATTTTCATCTTTGGCTCAACCATTTCTTTAATCCCCACTAAAATTGTAAAATTCTCCAGTTTTCCTTAACTGTGGGAATAACTTTATATATGCACACCAATTCACTGCAGAGCATCCATTGGTGAGCAAGTGATGGAATGCTAAATTCCTCAAATCTGTCCTGATGAAGAAACAAACTCATCTACATAATGGATGGACTGAGGGTGAGTAAATTTTCAACAAATTTTCATCTTTGGCTCAACCATTTCTTTAATCCCCACTAAAATTGTAAAATTCTCCAGTTTTCCTTAACTGTGGGAATAACTTTATATATGCAGCTGAAAGCTCTTGTGTCACTGTAAAAATACAAGATGTTTGTTATTAAAGGCTCATATAGTTAAATGTAGAGAATGAGGGTGCAAAATAAAATCAATACAAACAACTGTTTAAATACAATGAGAATTTTATTAAAACAGTGCAAAAAGAAAAGAAAAAATAAAACTAACATAAAAATCAGATGTTCTTTCCACCTAGATTGCACTGTCACACAGCCTGGGGTCACCTCTCAAACAAGGAGAAAGGTAAAACGGCTGAAAACAAACAAAAACTGCCCAATTAGCCAGAAGTAATGCACAAATATGATTAGATAAATTGCATCTGCCAGTTCTGTACATGCAACAGTTTCAGTCTCATGCAAATTGGAGAATGCTGATGACTGTAGCTCTGTCACATCCATGAAAACATACCATATAAAAATAGTAAGCTACATCATAACAAATCAAAGATCACTGTATTAAATAAGAGAATTTAGTGTGTGAAAACTTATGGTGGTGGACGCCACCACCATCGTTAAAAAATGTACTCAAAATTCGATTAAGTATCATAATTCGCTTTGAAATAGAAATCAAAATTAGGAATCTTCAGGAGGCCTGTCTGTTTGACAACTAGCCACGTAAGAAAGAACATCCTAGTTTCAGAACTAAACATCCCAAACTTCTTGAAAAATCTTACTACAAATATATATTTCCAAATCATACCTTGTCAGATCACTGATGGAGAAATTAGTTTGTTCACAAGAAACACTCGGATTTAAGAGGCTTCTCTTGTCAGTCATCGCTGTACGCTCCAGAATACTGACTCCATCACCAATCAGGGTACGGTCCTACAGCATACATTCGTATCTTTAAAAAACACTGTAAAACTGCATTTGATTTACAAAAATAACTTGAACGTATTTATACAACAGTTTTATTTCATAATACAAAAATGTTTGCACTCTTATTGAGGTCCAACGCTCGGGGTGGCTGAATGAGCTATCCATTCGTTAAATAACTTGATCCGTTAAACGCAAGCAACGAGTACATTGGAAGGAGAACATAAATTCCTACAGAGAGTAGTAGTCGTTTCACTGACAATTTCCTCTTGTTTGTGCCTTGAAGCTACAATAGGTTTGCAAAAGCACAATTCACCAGACGCGCACACACAAACACAAGCTCACACGCTGAATTCCTTTTTGCAGAGTGGAAATCTGGGTAAATGGTGTATGCCTTACGAAAGACTTTGCAATTTATATTCAAATGTGCTCGACTGAAAGAAAAAAAAAACAAATCCAAAAGCAGCAGCAGCATACTCTTTGTCCCTTATTTACACTATGAAAATGTGAGCCATCTGTCTCAAAAGGTCACTAGGGGTGCACTGATTTAGACATAAAGGTGATAGCAAAAAAGAAACCTAAACAAGTGTGCCATCTACTGGTTATAAGAGTGAATAACGTGTCAAAGATATCTTGCTGTCTTTGGGTGAAAAACAAAACTAGCAACCCTTCAGGTTTTTATACCGCTGAAAAACTTTTTCAGACAATTTAGTGCTTTTAAACGTAAATTAATCTAAACTAAGAAATTACAGCTTCGAATGCATGGGAGATACCAGATGAAGAGAAGAGCGAGGTGTTACATTTTTGTTAGGATACTAACCTAGCATATATTTAATTGTGCAAATCAGAAATGCAAATGTGGGAACATTGTGGCCTTGAGCTGACACAGTTATACAAATATTTGCATACGACTGATTACATCTGTATTGAGTGTTTGAGAAGCGGAAGTGGGTTCGCTGTGACTACAACACCAACTCTACATCTACCATCAATGCACACTAACACTTAACCACATCAAATGAACATGATCACAGCAGCAACATCCTCTTACAGTACTATAGAGCCCATTTCACATGAGCAATGAGAAGGTAAAGGGACAGTTCAGCCCAAAATGAAGAACCTGTCGTCATCATTTCATTAACCCTCATGTCGGTCTGAACCTGTATGACTTTCTTTCTGCTGTGTCCAGCAGAACGTCCAAACTGCTCTTTTCCATATAATGAAAATGAATCAAGTCAAAATGCTGTAACTAAATATTTTAACAGAGCAAAATTAGTAGCATGTAAATGACATGTAACAGACTGGTTTGACTCAGATTCAGAGAAAACTGAGTGCATGTGTGCTATATTAGCAGTTTTGCCCTCCAACGTAGCTCTCAAAATCTCATTTGCACATCCACATTGGCTTGTTGTGCTCAGTTAAGACACAAGAACCAAACGGAGTTTGTCATCACTGGCATCAAATTTGTCAGTAGGTGAGATGGAGCGGAAGACTTTCTGTGAATAATGACTTCTGGTCCATTACTCACATTAAGTGATTGGTTCACATTTACTTCCATTGTATGGAAAATAACAATCTACTTTTGTATTGGCCAATCATACAGGTTTGGAATGGCATGTAAGGCTGAATTAATAACAGTATTTTTTATTTCTGGCTGAATTGTACAACTAGCTGGCTTTATCGGAGGCTTTAATGTCTGTTAACAGTGTAACAGGATTTGATCTCGATATACCATTCATTGTGTAATTGAGATGCTGAGAGATCTGCTGGCATCCCTCTAAGTCCACAAATATCAGCAACACTATAATCAGCACTGCGAATCCAAAACCAAACAGAAGTAGAAATTCAGTTCAACAATCCCCCTGAACTAAGACTGAAAAGGCAACTAGGAAACAAGTGAGCTTGCACACAACAGTGGCACCTACAGCCGAACCCTGACCTCTGCAGTCCACGCGAGTGGAACTGCAAGTTCTCCCTCCAGAACGGAGCGAAATGCCAGACTAGAAGCACAGCAACATAACAGTCTATTTCATTGTCACGTCTGAAACCCACACGCACAACCTCTGGACATTAGAAAAGTGCTTGATTTGGTGCAGTGACTGCTCTGGGGGCGATCGATCATTAACATTTAAGCCGGTAACATTTGAAGGGGTCAGAAATTGTTTCAACATCAGCCCCCTTTGACCTGCGAGTACCTAGAACTCATTTATTAACATAACTCTTCTGCATAATGTACCATTTCTGAAAAATGACATCTGATTTCCTTTTTTTTTTCCACTAATTTTAAAGGTTTTGCACTTTTAAATGTTGTAGAAACACTTAGTAAAACGTAAACGACTGTGATTTTTTAATATGGACATGTGAAGACCCAAAGCAAAACCTTTGGCTATCAAGGTTTAGCTCCGTAAGTTGAACATCTTAGAAGCGAGAAAGCACCATTTGAGCTAATTCAAGCCAGTCGGGTATGGCTTCCAAAGGGGCGCAAGTTAAATTATTGTAGCGTTGGGCCAATGCAGATAACACTCACTTGAAGTTAACAGTGTGTTTTTGCCTTACAATCGCAATTGGGCAAGTCTTACATTGATTGCAGCTGAAATCCTACATGAAATGTCTATTATTATGTATACAAACGCCGCTGATATAAATACGTATTTTCTGGTTGTGCTTAACGTGTATTTTGGGGTACGCGGCATGTTCGTGTGATGCAACGTAGCACATTGTGCTCCAATGTCTATTGCCTGTGCTCTACATTCTCGCCACTAGGAGGAGACAAGGAGACAGGAAAGAGGATGACCACGTCAAGCAAATGTGGGCGGAGCTTAAAGCTTCTGCCTATGAGCCACAGCAAATGTAACACAACAGCAGTCCTATTCCCACAATGGCCATTCATTGTGGGCGCCGAGTCTCAGTAACCTGGTTCAGAAAGGCCGAACTTATGTCTTAAAGCAAGATCCACGCAATCAGGATATGATGTGGCTCACACGGCGGGCTCCAATGAGTCCTATAGGAGAGAAACCGGACAGAGATTGTCCATTCAAAACCTGTGGCTAGCCGGCTCCGTTTCCCGTCTCTTCAGCTCCTCTCTGTAGCAGTACGAGCAGTAATTGCCCGTCTCGGGGTGGCCGTAGTAATTGCACGTAGGCGTTCGGCATTTGCTGGACTGCAGGTTGGTGAGGCCACCCGCACTGCCTAAAGAGTAATGCCTCAAGGGCATCGGCCCATTGCGACTGTCCAAAGTGAAATGCGAGTCCCGCAAGCCATTCGTGTAGCCTCCAGCAGGTTCGGTTGGGTAATCAATTGGGTCATGATCTTGGGGAAAAGACATCAGGCAGGGGCTGATGATACGGGATGGGCTACCCAAGCTGGTGGAGGGAGGGTGGTACTGGGTATGGGGTGGGCCCTGTGCTAGGGGGCAGTGTCGGGGCAAGGTAGCATAGGATGGTAGACCTGGGTAAGAAGACGGCGAACCTCCTGCCAGCTGCCGTCGTGTATCCAAATAACCATGCATATGGAGATGCCGCGTGAGTGGGGTAGGAGAATGGTCAATGAAGGTGGCCCTAGGGATTGGGACCACACCAGAGTACATCACCGGGCTGAAAGACGACGACTTCAAAGCGTTAAAAGTAGGAGGTGAGTTATCAGTGACTTCCTCTTTGCTTTCAAAACTTCTGTAACTCAGCTCAGGCCCGTCCTTTTTCAGTTGGGACCCAGCAGTCGTTGCGAGACCTCCAGCCGCTTTCCGCTCAGCTTCCCTTCTCTGTTCCTGTTCGGCACGGAAGCGCTCCTCAGCATCAACCAGGTAGCGTTGGATCATTTCCTCCTGAAACGGCTGCCGGTTGCTTGTAGTGAGTAGCGCAGTGAAGATGTACTTCCTTTCGCCTTGCATAGCGCATCGGAGGATGCTGAGACTCACTTTCACATCCGAGCTGTACTTAAAAGGGTCACCTTCAGTAGAGTAGCTTCCATTTTGTCGCTCGCTGGTTGAGGAGGGTGAACCTTTCCCAGAGTCCTCAGAGCCAGTTTGAATGGAAGGAGAGCTGTCCTTACTGCCCTTACGACCTCTCAGAGAGCCTTTCTTCTTCTCTTGACCCTCCTGTTTGGATCCAATTCCACTTGTATTCTTTCCCGTCATCAGGCCTCCCACATTCTTTTTCAGCTTACTGCCCAAGCTCTTGCCAAAGCTACCCAGCTTGTTGGCAACGGAGTCTGCACGTTTCTTGTCCTTATCCTTTTCTTTGTCTTTCTTTCCCTTCTCCTTTCCAATTGTGCCAGTTGTCCCTGCTGAACTGTTACTGGATGAACTAGAGGAGCTGGAAGATCCACCACTTGTTTTGCCTGTTGTGCCACTGGTTCCAGTAGTACTGCTGTCTCCATTGCCATTGGAACTGCTGCTGACGGACTCCTTATCAGACTCTCCAGAGTCTGGCGGGGTGCGGGCATCCTCTCCTGCAGATGCTGTAGGTGACTCTGGCTGGGCCAATGGGGCCTGCTGTGAATGCAAAAAATAAATAAATAAAAATAAATAAATAATTTATTATTTAATTAATTTATTATTTTTAATTAAGAAAAGTAAGATAATCCCCCCATTTCATACCCATATCCAAATTACTTTTTGACTTTTACATATAACAAAAAAAAAGTCTGCATTTAGCATATTCATAAAAATTTATAAAAACGTAAAAAATCTGGGAAAATGATTAAACTCATCTTCAAATAAATGTGTGTACAATTTATACGATCTTTTACAACAAATAATCTTTACATCATACATTTTTTTCCATACAAGTTTATATTTAGATAGCATAAAAATGAGAAGTGACCAGAAAACCCTCTATGCCAATTTGGCAGTTTAATTAGAATCATCATTTATTTTTTACATCATGATTTGTAAAAAAAATGTCATGACTTGTAAAAGACTTTTACATCATGAGGGTAGCTTTAAAACATATTTATACCATCCTACAGACATAAACCTTTTTAGTGTTAGAAATAAAAATGCTTTGAATTTACTTTTTTTGTTGTTGTTGTCAGAGCAAATTTACCAAAGGTTTCTGGCTGACAGTTTACACTAAACCAGTTAAATTATTCTTAGCATGTCCAACAAAGCAAGAAGCTCACCTGTACCTCACATGGTAGAGGAAGCCAGGTGACAGTCATGTAGCTATGCAGCAGATGGAGCTTGGCCTCCAGAGATAAGGTTACACTGAAACCAAACAAGAGGAAGGTCAGAGCGCTGATATTCACCTATAAGTGGCCCTTTAAATACCTTTGAGAAAAATGTAAATGCGAAATAATAATGAGCATGTTTCATGAAAATACAAAATAACAAATAGGGAAAAGTCACAAGAAACATGTGCTGAGGTATTTAACAAGATAAGTAAAATATTTTAAAACAGAATTTCATATAGTGACAAATGTGAAAGCTGTGGGAATAAGACGAACTACAGATGCAACCCTGATCGATTTGAGAGCTTCTCTGTGTTCCATTCATAGAAAGCATTTAGTGATAATCTGCATTAAAGAATGAGAGTTGCTAATCTTGAGTGTTGGCCAACAGCGCACAGTCCCAGCATGCTCCTCAGGGCTAATGCCGTCATTATGGTCAGACTTTACTAAACTCTGCTGTAAATAAGTCAGAGCGGAGTCATTTTGCACTACATAGCCAAAATAACCTGAATATTTTGAAAACATTTTTCAGAGAAAATTTGGTATATGCACAATACGTAACAATTACAAGAATTGTTCCAGGTTTAAAACAAGCAAAAATCTATGGATGGCATTTGTGACATGCTGTTGATTACCACAATAAATAATTTTGACTCATCCTTCAGATTGTATAAACACGCGTGGAGAAATTACTCATATAATTTTAACAAAAATATGAGCTATGCATTTTAGCTTCAAAACTCTCCAGAATGTCTCGCTTCAGACTTAACATGCAAGGTTATTACTGTAAACAATTTATGCTTGTTATTCTTTTTTCAATCCGAGTCTGAATTATTGTCTGTGGTAACTGACAGCATCTTAAAAATGCTGTCAATTGAGCTTAATTATATGCATGAGCATGGGCCTTTTTTATTCATTAAACTAGGTGGCACACTTGTACAGAGGATTGCACAGTGGAGCAGAGAAAGTAATGAGCGCCTCAAAAAGCTGGGAAATGTTGATGTTTATGTAAAGACAAAAAAATCTCTTAAAATCTCATTGTTAAATTTAATTCTGATTGCAAATGCATACTACAAATTGTTTCTGCAAATGAAATTCTACCTTGCCAGCATCACATTATCGTTGTCATCTTTGCCCCATTCCCAGTCTTCTCCAGGATCCACAGCAAAGTGCAAAGGCAGCATCTTATGATCCGAGTCCGTCAGAGGGATCACCACTGCGGAGATTTTTACCAAACAAAAGGTAACAAATGGTCAGTATCATTCTGAATTTCACTACTTCCCTACTTGTTTATAATTTGGCTTATTTACAAACACAAAACAGTATTCAAATGAACTCCAAGACTACAGTTCCAAAAGCCTTTGAAGAAATAAGCTGGATTAAAGTGGATAAAGACTTTCTGGAAACAATAAATTATTGCAGATTTTGTTCTGTCTTGCTTTGAAAAACTGGTTTATCAGGCAGGAACAGCACACTGCATGAACCATAAAAAAGCAAACCAATTTGCTACATATAAACCACTCCTCACCTTGTTCTTTGGAACTGTCTTTCTGCTCCATTGAGACCAGGGCAGAGAAATGGGCCTGGTCATATGCCAGAACGAGATGGGAGCGGTGGCACTTGCTGGCTGGTACTTCTAGGGGCAGGTAAATCCCTCCAAATGGGATTGGTGCAAAAGCTAAACAACAGACAAAAATGATAAGCTTTGCTTATGGAACATGAGAGGACAAATGGAAAATGCATTATTTACAGGGGACATAGTCAACACTTTTTGCCACTGCATTTTTCTGCTACAGTCATAGTCTTGGTTCTTGGTTACAATATAACCATTAAGATTTCGACTGAGCCATTTTTACAACTTGGCTTCAATAGACAAGAAAGGCTTTCTGAGTGGTAAATGTTAGAGCACCTCAAAGTGTGTCAAACTCCCCACAAAAAAAAAATAAATAAAAAAATTGTTTATCCAAAAATGAACATTCTGTCCTTATTTACCTTCTCCCCCAGAGTCCCGCAGCATGGTGTCAGCCACAACCACTATCGGCCTACGGAGCACATGAGCAAGAACGAACACATGAAACTCCTCCAGGCTCTCGTACACCGGCTCCTCCTGTGACTCGGCACTGCGGGACACAAAACACACTCTCACAGCATGAGCAAAACACTCCAGAATACCTCTGTTTACAGCTTTCAAAGCAGAAAATAAAATCAGATGCAATCAACACACCCGTTGCTGCCGTTAGTGCTGTAGTGTATCCTGGGTTCACTGGATGCCAGTTTCAACAACTCATTCCACTCTTTCTGCCACTCTTCCTCTGTGTAAACCAGTCCCGACTGCACACAAATCCACACACACAAATATTAGGCTGAAACAAAGACCAACTTGTGCAGATTTTCTAATTATTTTAGTTATATTAGTTATTTTCTATGTATTATATTTTAAAATGTAATTTATTCCTGTGATCAAAGCTGAATTTTCAGCATCATTACTCCAGTCTTCAGTGTCACATGATCCTTCAGAAATCATTCGAATATGCTGATCTGTTGCTCAAGAAACATTTCTTATTAATATCAATTGTGAAATCAATTGTGCTGCTTATTTTTGTGGAAACTGATATTTTTTCAGAATTCTTTGATGAATAGAAAGTTCAAAACAAAAGAGTTCATTTAAAATAGAAATCGTTTATACCATTATAAATGTATTTGCTGTTATTTTTTTTAGTTTGTAAATAAAGTATTAATTTCTTTAAAAAATATAAAACACACACACACACACACACACACACACACACACACAAAACACCCTTTTCAATGGTAATTTATATTTGACTTGATGGAGCCTGATACTAAACTGATTATCTGTTGCCATCTGTTTGTAAAATAAAAAAAATGAACCAACAGATAAAGTGCTCTAACCTCTTTGTTCTGCATGGTTTGTTGCCATCTCCACCTTCGCTTTAAAGCCTCCCTCTCCAGCCCATGATCCATCAGTGCATAGAGAGACTTCCGCAGCATCAGGTCTCGATCATGAAAGCCCCACATACCTGCATAATAATGTTTTAAACATAATTACTGAATTAATATCTTAAGATTACATCTGGCAGTGGTTTCTAGGCAAGTATGCAGCCCTTTTACTGTTGCTTTGGACATAAGTTATATAGTTACACTATAAATCTAATACAGAGAAAAAAAACACTTGTATAGAACTCTATGCCACTCCAATAAGCATCTGTTTTCAATAACACATTAATAAATGTTTTTTTTAGCCTATAATCGTCAAGCTATGTGTAGCACCAACAAACTTTTAGAAACCTGTAAGGTGGAATGAATATGTATAAAAACTGTGCTGATCGCTTACATACAAAAAGTCGGTTTGAACACTTACCCAGTGAGGCAGCGTGTAACAGACAGTTCCCATCACCACTAGTAGCCAGAGGTAATAAATTCTGACAGCCGGTTCCCAAACGAGTCCACCAGTTCAACCGTCCTGTTGAAGAAAAAAAAAAGAAAAGCATTTATTTCTCAAATCTGTGGCTACAGACACCAAGTTACTTCCTTCTATGGCTGCATCCAAAAATCACATACTTCCCTCTAATATAGTAAGCAAAAACAGTATGCAAACAGTAGTATGTCTGAATTCACAGTATTCGTAAAACGGTTAAAAAAGTAGTTTTTCTGTTGAGGTTCTGAAGTGTGCATCCAATGGAGACTTTACCATCCCATGAGGCTACAGGAAAGGATATGTGAATGGCAATGAAGTGACGCAACTGATGCTGGTAGTACATATGACAATGACATCATAAAAACAGTATGTCCGTATTACATTGATACTACATGCATTCAAACTATATAGAACATACTTTTTAATGGTCACAAAGTAATTACTTCAAAATGGGTACCTACTCTTAGGTACGATTTAGCACGATCTTAGGTACGATTTACCTACTCTTAGTAAACGATTGCGGACGCAGCCTGTCTTTTTCAAAAACTAGAGAGCTACAGTACCTACGCAGGCAACACTAGAAGGGCAACAGTGGACAAAGTAAAATATCAATCATAAATATTTATTCACTTAATTCATAATTAATTCAATAGTTATATCTACTAAAAGAAGACTATTTTACCCATTATTTTGTGTGCTGTGCATCTTTAAGCTTATTAGACTATCACGCTAATGGCAAACTCCTGTGTGCATCACATGAGAAGCACAACATGCTGCCTATGTATGGCATTTCAAATCAGTCACTTATAATGTTACATTTTAGTCAGGATGCTTATGTAGACAGCAGAGATTAAAGCAGCTAACCGAAACAAGTTAGAAATATCTGACTATAAAACTTATAATATCAAAATATTTTGTTCAGCTGTCGGAGGAGAGATTCTTGAAATTAAATAACTAACCAGCGTGCTCCAAGGCCACCATCATGGACTGCTCAATGAGGTCTCTCTCGATGAAGCCGCGGAAGTCGTCCCTGTAGACGGTGAGGTCAGGCAACTGGAAGGTGCAGAGCGGAGTGTCCAGAAGTGGCTCGTTGCTGCCGCCCGTACTGGACACGTGTGAGCGGGCCAGAGAGACGATGGTGGAGCTGGCGTGAGAGATTCCCCTCGACAGTCGCTTCTCCGTGGCTGCTGCCATGATACATGTTCAGATTACTGCATATACTGGAGAATATAAAACTAGACACTGGTAAGCTATTATCTGGTCGACCTATTCTTATCAGTCCTCAGCTCCCTTCAGTTCGAAAACAAGGTTAGTCAGGTGAGAGTGGGCAAGGCTTTGAAATGACAACTAACTGTCATGATCAGGGTAAATCATTTACAAAAATTACAAACCACATTTGAGAATTAAGGTCAGGCCGTGCAGACAGACCTTCTAGTGCTTTCGTACCTTGAACAACCTCATCTTGGCGATGCAAGAGAGGCCGCCCCGTCCGAGCGATCTCCTTTTCAAAGGAGGGATACTCTCTCTCCTCAGCAAAGGTGCATGAGAGGTTCCCAGCGTGCACTTGTCTCAGCTGTTCAAAGTCACTCAGTGCAGCCGAGAGGTCCCAGTTTTTTCCTGCGAAGAAAGCCACATTCATGAAGCATGCAAGAAAATAAGAGTTCATAGTTCCACTGCACCTCTGCTTAGGAGTTTAAATATTAACCCGACATAGCAGCAAAGTTCAATGACACATTCCGCTGCAGTTGCTTGTGCAAATACTGGTCAGTATCGACTGTCAAGCATGAATACTGCAGAACTATACATATTTTAACTCATTCTCTTATCTGCAGTGTTGCTAGGCAACATGTGCTGGGTTTGTTAAGGCTTTACTGCACACATTCATATAGATGCTTTTTTGCTCTTCTGCAATCACTTAATCATAAAGACCTTAGTCAGGGTAGATGCCATATTTAACACTATATGGCTCATGTAGTTTTGTAAAGTATGTATAATCAAGAAAAGTTACATATAATATCATAATGTTTAAAAAATTAATTAAAATTGCATAAATATTATTTATATCTGTATATAAAATCAGAGAGGGTGATGGGGAACAGGATGGTTTTCGCTCACCCTCTAGCAGGTCTCTGGCCAGTCCGGGTTCAGCTCCAGTAGAACGGACAAAGTCGGACAGGACTGCGTCCATATCCAAAGTCATGTGATCATGAATTTACAGTGCAGAAGGGGGCATCAGGAGAGAGAAAAGACAGGAGAGTAATTCTCCCTCACAGCAGAAGGACTGTTTCGGCCACACCTAAAGAGCAAGAGAAGAAAACAGACAGTGAGGCCATGTTTAAGCTTTGGGTCTGTGCATCATATTGGTGCACATTACCAGAGATCTGTTGACTCCAGCAGTCACATGTCTTTCCTGTGACCTCTGCTGTGGAGCTCAGCTGAACGCTTCAGTTTGCATTACAGAGAATTTGCAATTCATTAGAAAGATGGCTACTATGATAGCACAGTTTTAGGCACATTTTAAAGTCCCAAATGATGTTATTTCAATAACTGTAAAATAAAAAGTAATTCAATGACATATTGAGGGGAAAAACACCCACCTACATACAAAACAGGGCTCAACAAAAAATATTTTTTTTCCCGCTGACCTCACCAGTCATAATACAATTTTATTTTTGCAACATACACATAAAAGTTTGGGGTGAGCAAGATTTATTTTTTTTTAAATAAATGAACACTTATTCAGCAAGGAAGCATTAAATTGATCAAAAGTGACAATAAAGACATAATGTAACAAAAGTTTTCAATGCTGTTTGAACTAACCAAACTAGGGATGTCAACGATTAATCAATGAACGATTCATTGTCGATAAGAGATGCAATCGATTAAAGCTATCGATGGTCCATTAAGCTATTTAATTTTGGGGTGCTTGCGGCTCATGCGCAAAACACGTGCGAGCGGCTGTGAGTGACGGTGACTGTATATGAATGCATCACCATTCATTCATAATGTACAAATTAAGCCTTTAATGTGATTTAAACATTTAGTACATTAAAATAGAAACAACACAAAGTTCTTCAACATGGAAAGCAATAGAAATGTAGTAACCAAGTAATTTCCCCAGATAATTGTTTCATATCGTGCGCTTTGCAGGGCTGCGGGACACAGGACAGATAGGCTAGGCTATTCATTCCTACAACTTAATTCGTCCCTACGACTTATTAATTTGTGGCCACTGTCCATGTTTCATTAATTTTGTTTCTTAAATAACTCATGATTTAATGAATGAATAAATCGAACGAATTCTTAATTCATGGCCATGAAATATTTCATTTCCCTTCCCGCGCGTTTAAGAGATGCGAAAACAGTGATAAAAAGTGGAAGACAATAAAATAAACATGCAAAATTAGAGGGTTAGACGGTGAGGATTTAAGAAAATAAACAATGCCTAAATATTATTGAATTTGTGGAAATTCGTGACCAACTGGCAAACCAGAACAAAGCCGCGTGAATGTAGGCTATATGGGCTCGAACGGCATCCAAAAGCATGGTCGCGATGTAACATTTTCCAGCTAAACAATTATTCCTCTAATAAACAAAGCTTTTATACCACACTTGTCATAATTAGAGCTTATAATTTGTAAATAAATAATTGTTGGATTCAGTAGAGCAATTAAAAGGCGCTGTGACACTGACAATACAACTTCAGTTTTCCCGGAGCATTCAATTATGTCACTAAACGGTGATGCCACAACTACGAGCATCGTTCACCAGTTTCTGCATGGACCTAACTAGGTTTTCAAGCCCTGGGACAAAATGGGAAATGTAGGCTATATGGGCTTGAACAGCATCCAAAAGCATGGTCGCGATGTAACATTTTCCAGCTAAACAATTATTCCTCTAATAAACAAAGCTTTTATACCACACTTGTCATAATTAGAGCTTATAATTTGTAAATAAATAATTGTTGGATTCAGTAGAGCAATTAAAAGGCGCTGTGACACTGACAATACAACTTCAGTTTTCCCGGAGCATTCAATTATGTCACTAAACGGTGATGCCACAACTACGAGCATCGTTCACCAGTTTCTGCATGGACCTAACTAGGTTTTCAAGCCCTGGGACAAAATGGGATGCTTTAAGGAAAATGTATAGCCTATGTAAGTAATAGGCCTAAAATA